CAAAGGGACCATGTAACAATTTGAATTCTCTATCTCTTAGGTGACTCATCCTAGAGAATTCAAATACGGTATAGTGCTACACACATTATAATGCGTGCTTATGACATACACCTGAAGAATCTCAATTCCCGATGATTGAGACCCACCACCATATCTCATATATCGGTGTCATGCATAATAACATGTTATAACAAAGTTATCATTTGCAAGTTATAGGTTAAGCACAAAATTAAGAAATTTCTAAGTTAGATCATATCTCCAAGCAAGTGACCATCACAAGTTATAGGTTAAGCACAAAATTAAGAAATTTCTAAGTTAGATCATATCTCCAAGCAAGTGACCATCACAGTGCATGATCTAACAACTCCAAGCAAGTGACCATCACAGTGCATGATCTAACAAAATAACTTCTAAGGATATATAACAATTATATATAAATAATACCCAAATTATGTGCAACAATTAAACTTATTAACATTACAATATTATTACATAATATGTATTGGATGTTCAAGGGCAAATTATTATTACTATTCCAGCATAATTATGGGTTAATTACACACTAAACTTACATGAACGAGGTGGAAAGTTGTGGGCTTTGTCGACATCCACAATGAGACAAGAAAATGGCTTTCAAATGTCAAGAAACTAGACTATTTGTATCCGTTCGATTTGGAGAAATAAAAGCCTTTCACTTTCATAAAGCGAGACGGATTTGCAACGTGCGTTGGGAGGGGGGGGGGGGGGGTGATGCATCAGTGGACGCCAACGTACATAGAAAAAGTGAATAAAGGCGTGCAGGTATAAAAACGTAAGGAAACAAATTAAAGAACGAACACGAGTTTTCCTTTTTCTCATGGTAATCATAAGGAGCTGAACAAAAAAGTTTCTTCTTCCTCTCGCAAACAAAGCCTTCTTTCATTTCTTCATGGATTCCATTCTTTTTGCAGGGTACTGTAACGTACATGCAAAAGCCTCTACAGGCTCTAATAATCATTAGCAGTGACTTGACTTGATTTCCAACCGCAACCTTCGACATCGACGTGCATTTGGTCCCTCCTGGCTTTTTTCACGTCTACCTTCAAACATCATATAAAGTTTGGTACTCCATGAGATTCTTAGTCCAGCTCGGAGCTACGCTGTGATCCAATTCCAAGTTTTGCTAGCTCTACGGGCATTGAGCACGGCCATACATATACAACTCAACAATAATTGATATTAAGGAGATAGGGTGTCTTAATTAGTTATCATGCCTACGAGGCAAACAAATCCATAAATACATAATTAAGCATGTCCGATTCCTCAGTGAGCAAAAAGCGAAGAAATGACAGGTACCTCACATTGTATATCTTCATACGTACTAAATATCAATATCTACAGACATAGAAGTGAATACTCGGATCTGTATATCCAAATATTCGAATATATGTACCGATCATATAGTTGAAATTGTTTTGACCATTAGATAAATGGATTTTGAAATCAATTTTGATGAGTCGAAGACCTAATTTTTTTACCCTGAAGTTTGAACCATTTTGCCTAATGCATGCAGACTTAATTAGCAAGGATTTGGTACTGGCAGAGATTGTTTCTCGGCGTCTCTAGTTTAGAGCTGGGCCTATAGAATCGCAGAATTTATGTGCACTAATTGATAGATCTACATCATAAACTTGAGATCTAAAACCATATAGCCATGATTAATTCAAAGAGATTAACAATGATCTAAATGAGCGGAAGCTTATACCTGAATCCATTGCTTGATCTTGAGATGGGTTTTGATCTTCTAACAAATGGTACCATACATTAGCATTCTATGTATAGTAGAATTGATTTGGGTATCTGATAACCCATCTATATTCCATTCGTAGATATTTCTACCATTATAATCAGCCTGTAGATATGCATCATTTTCTTCAAAAAGAACATCTGCTGGAGTTGGTCTTTTATAATAATACCTTTCCAGTCTTTTCTTTGGATGACCTTTAATCTTATTAATTTCTGTAAAATTATTTTCTACAGCCAAAATTTCTGTTGAATAGTATAATTGTATCGCAATAGTTTCGGATCCAGGAATATAATTGTATCCGTGTGTCTTTATATTAAGACTAATTGCCTCTAAAATATTTGGATCTGTTAATGAGAGGCTCAAATTTGGATATACATTAAAATAAACTGGACCGTTACATAAACTGGTCTCCATAATACCCATTAAAGATTGGGTCCAATTCAAACATCGTGAGTCTCTTAAACAGACTAGTAAAGAGGCATTTAAGCCTGATAATGTCAAAGGACGAAATGCGATCTGTTTAAGACGTATATGCAAATATTTGTATTTATCCATATAAGGATTTACATCTGCAACTCCTAGGAGTTGTATTGTTTGATCTTCTCTGTCGACTGTAGTAGTCCTTTCTAGAGTTTTAATATTAATCAACGACTTATAGTCGAGAAATCCAATTTTGTATATTTCCCTATTAGGGACATCAGGTATAGTCCACTTATTAAGGGACTCTATATCAGTTTCATATTCTGTTAATTGAGCGTTTTTGACCTTCTTTAGTCCAGTATAACTGGACGGTCGAGCCGAAGTTTCCACAATATCTGACATAAAGTTCTCTTGTTACAGATTTATCTCTTAAATATCAATCCAGTAAGGAAGTAGACTATTTATTTTTCTTTTGATTCTCTCTAAAACAATCTAGCTGAAAGCTTACACGTCTGTCAACGTCTTACACTACCCTAACCAGCCATCTCGGCAACACTGGGATTTACACAGCGCGACTTGGGTGACGTCCCATAAGCATACCAACTAGACTCTTAAAAAGAGAATTAAAAGAACATATAAATATTCTACATTCTTACTAGCTAATATTCAAAAGATAAACTGTAACAGAGATTTAAGCAGACATGCAGATAATAAACATGGCTCTGATACCAAAGTTGAGAGCAGGAAATAATAAGCAGGAAATAATAAGCGAAAAACTTACAATTTACGCCCGCCAATAGATAAGATTGTATCTTTATTATGATCCACAATATATTACAAGAGAGGATATATTACAAGAGATCACTCAGAAATCACTCAAGAACACTCAAGGAACACTCAAAATACAATACTCAAGCACCTTATTTTTTATTTTTCTTCTGATTCCGCCCCTCTGATCTTCAGCCTTCCTTCTTATTTATAGCCTTGGAAGGAATCTTTAAAGTGGTCGACAACTTCCCGAAATTTCTCTGAAGTGGCACATTAATTTCAAAGTAGGAAAGCGACCCGCATAATAGACAGTAGCCGCACTAATTAGCACAGTAAAAGGTGATGGCGACATTTAGAATAGTAAGATTCTTCCTTTAAGGAAAGTAGCTTTTAAAAGCTGCTTTATAAAGCTGCTTTTTGGAAAGAGATGCTAGACGGCTCCCCGAGGCTCAATCTAGTATTTTGTCTGCTTATAAAGCTGGGCTTTTACCTTTAAGCATCGCGTGGCATTATTTGAATATTTGCTGCCCAGATGTCTTCAGGGTCCTGAGCATCTTGAATCTGATCCAGACCAGGTGTATCTTCTTTCCATAGAAGAAGCATGACTATTAGTCTCTGTTTCGTCAAAAGCTTCAAAGAACTGCCTTTTAAAATATTCTAAGCACTTCTGCTTAATTTCGGCTTCAGAGCTTTGAGGATATTTTCGCCTTATTAAGCGCTGCCATTTTAGTCATAGGATTATCTTTTTTGACTTCTTGAGTCATATTTGACTCTAACAGAGTTTTATTTCTCTGGATAATTTCCTCTAATTCTTTAACTTTTGTCTCGAGACAGATCCCATTCCACCATCTGCATTGGTATGTTCTTTAAGAATAGGAATATGTGATGGGGTCCAGTCACATATAAGGGACCAATTCCAAATCCAAGGAATTTCTACTTCTGCAAAGAAATGTGCGAAGCCACATGCCATCTATGAGCTGGCTTTCATCCATTCTTGATAATTTTGGATGACTGTCGACCCATGAAGAATATAACTTTCAGAAGGGGTTCGGGAATAATTGCAATTTCAATTCCATATGTTTCCCACCATTTATAAAACCAATTAGGAACTCCCTTTTGAAGGGCTTCAGGACATAGCTTGATAAGCCATGTGCTTTTGTTTTGGAATCTGATATAAGAACAGATCAAAAAAGCTTGTTTATAGTCCCAACAGTTGAATTTATAAACTTCTTTTGTAGCTTGAACTCTTACCAACGGTAATTCTTCATTGAGGTTTATAGCCCAATTGCGAGGAAGTATAACTTCTCTGATAACACATTTGCAAATCCAGGAGGAACAAAATGATTTTCTGTAGTCCAAAAATGGGTTATTTCCATTCCTTTTTTGACTTAATAAAAGTCCTTATCCAAGCTCTATGATTTAGAGAAGAGTAGGATAGTAAGTGTCGTGAAGATATCTTTGCCGGATTGTTTCTGGTTCTTGCATTAAAGCAATATCTTCGGGTTCTAATATAGACATATATCTGTATGAGATTTTTCGAACCATTTAGTTTCCTCTTTTACTATTATTAGTAAAAGGTCAGGAGTATTTTCCTGATCTACGATATCTCGTACACCTTTATAAAAGGTTTTAGTATGAGAAGAGTTATGCTACTTTGCAATAGTTCGCCAAGATGTTTGGCTGTTTGAGATGGAGTATGACTCCTATTTCGGTATTGTTTCTTGACCTATGAGTATATATAATATATATTATATATATATATATATATTATATATATATATATATATTCTATATTACTAGTTTCTCATATCTATTTTATATACGTATGTATATTCACATAAATAGCTGCATACATATTCATATTTATATTTAATTTAATGAATATGGATATAAATTTTTCTTAACAAGAAATAGTTCGTATCCCTGATTAATAAACAGATAACAACGATATGAATCTATGATAAACAAAACATCCGACCCATATTCCAACCGTGTCTGCATGCCGCGGTCTCGTTCGGCATCCACCATGGTGAACAGGCCGCGGGCCCCATTTACTGCTATCGTGCGCCATTCCCCTATCACTCAGCACATAAAATCCCAATCACTCTTCAACCGACAAAAAAAAGCGATTCCGCTTAAAAGAAAAAACCCATTCCACTGCTCAATCAACTCGGCAATCGACGGGCGGCGACGGAGCGCCGGCGATGGGTACGTGAAGGCCAAGACCTCAGTTTGGTGGGATATTGAGAACTGTCAAGTTCCTCGATCTTGCGATCCCTACTTGATCGCCCAGAATATAAGCTCGGCGTTGGCGGCCATGGATTATAAAGGGGCGGTGACGATCTCGGCGTATGGGGATACGAGCAATATCCAGAAGGCGGCTCAGCAGGCGCTCTCCAGTACTGGGATCTCGCTCAATCATGTGCCTGCTGGTATAAGATCCTACACTTGAAGCCCTAATTTTTAAGTAACGTGTTGATATTTTTTTTTCAGTTGGATGATGGTTTTTTGAGTGTTGGATTGTGAAATTTTTGTGTGGTCTGTTTCGGTTTTAGGGTTTTGGTAATTGTTTTATGGTGAAAAATTACATTTTTAGAAACTTGAATGTTCAAAATGAAACTGTAATTTACCAATTAATCTTGGACTTGTGATTGTAGTGCTAGGGGTTAGTCATCTAGAACTTAAAACTGGAACTGGGATAATTTGTGGGATAAAATTTTAAGGTGTTAGTCACATAGAACTAGGAATTGGATATTTTTTTATAGTGTTAGTTAAGTAGAACTTTTGTAGAACTAGAACTGTATTATTTTTTTAGTGCGTTAGTCAAGTAGAATTCTACTAGAATTAGAATTGGGATAATTGGTCATAATTATCCCACAAATTATACTACCTATATATATAACCATAAGTTCTCCTCTCTCAAATTATCCCACACATTGGAAAGAATACAATTGGGAGAAAAAAGTGAAACCCGCCTCCCTCCCTCTTGGTTAATTTCTCCGCCTAGAAAATTTTTCTGCCATGAAGTCAATCATCCATTCATTTTTCTATCTTTACTTTGTTTTTGTGATGATTAGATCTTTTATTATTATCTTCAAGATGTATTACTTTATTGATAGCTTTTTGACGTTAAATTACTTTATTATTATTTGTTTGATCTAAGTTTTCTCTCCACAACAGTGGTTTATGTTAAGAATATAGTGTTAGTGGGTTAGTGCTAAAGATATGCGGGCTATTTATGTTTTTTTATAAGTTAGAAAGCAACTTTGCGATCACATTGATGATTAGATGTTGAATGGTTAATGGTGATATCTATTATTATTAAACCGGCTCAGTAAATTGATTAGGATATTTATAGTTCATCTGTCGATCATCTGTTTAGCGGTCATGGATGATTCCTGTGTACATTTTATTTATTTGATGATTTGGTTTCAGCGATCATGATGAGATTGATCCAAAGGGTTAATGGCTGAAAAATGCTTTTTTTTTCTTTATGATGTTATGAGATTTGAACTTCGACATTTATGATCCTCCACTAGAAGCTCCACGAAATGTTGCTGATGCAGACGATGACTCCGATAAAGAAGACGAGTTACAGACTCAACGAGCAGCTTTATTGCTAGAATTTATGTTGCTGATGCAGATGATGGAAGTCGAGTCACTCTAGGGATTTAGATTTTTATTTATTTGTAAATTATTTTATTATTTAAGATGAATAGTGATGCTTTATTGCATTATATTTTATAGTTATTACTAGAATTTACTTATCAATATTATATTATTTTTAATATACAATTATTAACAATAGTAATTTATACCCACCATTACCCCCACCAAATTATCCTACCAAATTATGCAACTTCATAATATTATTTATCATTATCCTACCAAATTATCCTACCAAATTATCTCACTTTAAGAATTAACTATCATTGTTCCACTAAATTATCCCAGTGTTAAAATATTATCTCACTTTACCAATTATCCCAATTCTACTTAAAAAGTTCTAGGTGACTAACCCCCCCTAAGAGGATTCAGTCAAGTGTGTTATTGGCTGATCTTTATAATAGATATTATTTCGTATTTGTCATTTGGGTGAACTGAAACTAGAAGGAAACAGCGTTGACGCAGCTAAATACTTCAAGGCGATCTGTTTTTAGCGTGCGTAAGATCCGTGCTGATCTATGTTTACAAGCATAGGAATTAGGGAGAAAGTGGTTATATGTCAGTTTAGGTATTCATTGTTTTGAAATGTAGTTTTGAACAATATTATTCAATTATGATGTTGCCATTTATGTGTTCTACGTTTGAACTGCATGCATTACTTGTTAAATTGTTTATATATTCCAATTAGTTCGTTAAAGCAATGATGGAGTATATGATTGAAATAATAGTTGAACAAAAGCAATGATATCTTTCTTATTTTGTATTCTTAATCTGCTTTTCAGTCCAAATTTTTGGGATGAAAGGCTTCGTCGTCGTTGCTATTGTTGTAGTTTTTTCTGTTTAGATGATTCATCTGATTGTTCCTGCCAGTGGAGGAGTATTTTACAATCAGCTCACTCCCAGTGGATGATGGACAGTGTTTTCCTACTCCTAGGAAAAAGAATAAGCATGTTTGACGGCTAAACTACCAGATTGATATTCAAAATAGGTCCATTTACTACTTTGGTATTTAAATACGCTCCGTCCTCTTTTTGGTATTTAAAGCGTGTAGAAGTGACAATTAGGTATAAAAACTCGTTTTTCTGACGAGAACTATTTGGAAAATTTATTCCACACCCTGACCTCTTAAGAGCCGATTTGGTATAGCTTTTTTTAAGGGTGCTTCTGCTTATTTTTTTAAGAAGTAGCTAATAATGTTGTTTTGTGAAAGCTTCTTTGGCATGCTTATTGAAACCGCTTCTGCTTTTAAGGGGATACTTTTAGAAGCAATCTGAGAATACTTTTAAAAGCAGTTTTTGCTTTGTTTAGTTTATATACCATATATATCTTTTATCTTTTAATAATGATTATTAGGCATAGTTCTACCAAATTATTAGGCACAGTTCTACCAAACATCTTAACTGTTTTTTAAGCAATTTTTAATATTTGATTACCAAATAATTTTTTAGCAGCTTATATAAATTGGTTTTATAAGCTGCTTTTGAAATTAACTTATTATAAGCTTTAGCAATACCAAATTGGCCCTGAATTGATTGTATTTTATCCCGTTCTCCTCCTTCAGCCACCTCAAACTTAAATTCCTTCTACCCGTTCCTTCTTCACCTCTATTTCTCTTTCATCAATATAGAGTCCCCTTCTTCTCCTTCAACCTATTCTAACCTAAACCCTAATTCAAATGATCAACGCCTTGTTTGGATTAGGGTTTGGGTTTTAATTTTTGATTAGGGTTTGGTTTTGAATTGGGAGAGGTTGAATGAGAAGGTGGGGCTCAGAGAAGGAAAGGGTGAAAAATGGTCTTATTGGGTAAAAAGTTAGAAAAATTTCAGTTTTGGGAGGTTGAAGGAGAAAAAGGGTGTAGAATTGTAATAAATTTTAAAATCATGGGTTGGAAGAAATTTTCCCAATCCTCGTTGGAAAACATGAACGCTGACGAGTTTTTGTACCTGATTTTCACTTTTACACACTTTAAATACCAAAAAGACTTCGGAGCGTTTTTAAATACCAAAGTGGTAAATGGCGTCTATTTCAAATACCAATCTGGTAGGTTAGCCCATGTCTGACTAAGCACGATCACAAGTGTTTTCCTACTCCATGACCTTCAAAAACCTTTAATATATGGCATATAAACCTTGGACTCATGGAATCATGAGATGATAAATCCAATAATGTTGCTACCAAAAATTTGGACTCTTGGAGTAGATTTGAAATAATAGTACAGCATTTGTGTAGCATTTTTGTGGCTAATACCAGTCCCTCTGGTTTTGATATCATGATATTGATCTGCATCTCTCTTCCTTATTTTACAATTATCAGTTAAATATTAATATATCAAGAAGAAATGCTAAGGGGAGACAAGCAAGTACTTGTATTTGTTTTGATTGCCAAGGCTATCTTTCTTAAGGCTGGCTTGCTGATTCTTGAGAGCTGATTTAGATCAAACTGCATATGGATATATATGCTATTTCTTATTGGATTCAACAATCCTTTTAGGGCATGTTTGGTTCACCCTAAATTAATGGAAACAAGGTGATTTTTAGGGATTGGAACAAAAAGTAGGAATAATGGCATTATAAGATTCCAATAGTTCCGTTTTAAATGTTTTCCATAAAGCAAGAAAAGTACACAAACTTTAGTATTACCCCAAATCCTTAGTTTTGGACGGGAAATAGGCAAAAAAGCTCAAGCAAAGCTTTCTATGATGAGACGTTTCCTATTCTTTCAAATGAAGCAAACAGAATTTTGGATATGCTTTCCTATTCTTTAGTATATCATTATGAACCAAACACAAGTTTTGGTTTCCCAATATATCCTAAAAAATTAATAGATTTGGTTTTTTGAGAGGGAATTCATTTTCATAATTTTTAGGAAATGAACCAAACATGCCCTTAACTGCCACTCAAGTTAGTCTATTTATTTCTCCAACTAACTTCAGCCATGCATTTTTATTCAATAGCATAGGTGGTAGTGTACACTTGTTGGCAGACGTAAGATTAGGAATGTGTTTTTTCTTGAGTTGAAGAATCAATTTCCCCTAAGATCTAGGGGTTGGGAAGATAATCAAACTATGAATACTATAGTTACTTGTTAAATCTTGTTAAGTTATACCATGCTTCGATATGATACTTCTGAGCTCTAACTTGTAATAATCAGAGCTAGAATGGCTCATCTTTTTTATTATTATAATATTTATCTTCAATCATTTTTAGCATATTAATTTTTTTGTTAGAACTGTAAATCAAGTTGCAGTAAATTAATATCCAAAATACTGATGTTACTACTTTAGAGGTCAGTGCCTAATTTACATCCGTCTGTTCACTCACTGTTCTTTTAGTTATCTAACTTCACTCGGCTTTGACGTCTGATCGTCACATAGACATCAAGTATATAATAATATGTATGATGACAAGGGAACTAACGCTCTTTTCCATTTGTGGCTGTTGATAAAAGAGTTTTAAAGGTGATGTGAATCTTACGTCCATAAAATTTCATTGTTTACCGCTCTCTTGATGACCCGTAGGTTGGTTTAATCCCTTACTTGTAGCTCTCTTCTTTTACAATAGATATGAGAGCGATACATGAAAGACTTGCTCTGCTCCCTTATATTCTTTTCTGCAAGGAGGTTCTTGTTTACGCAACATCAGTGGATGTCATGTTGGCAAACAGAAACTCGTTGACCAATGCAGTAACCAAGGAGAAAGTTAGGGGTCTTGACATTCAACTGAGCCTGGTCTTCTTTATTTGTATTTTTGCTTTGCCAAATTACTGGAGTTAATCAAAATCTTTAGCGCATCAGCCCCTCTGTTGCAATCTCATCTTGATAAAAGCTACACCCAAATGGTTTCTGCTGAACTTTGTGCAACTTTTAGGTCTTCTTTTTATATTTTGCTACATATTCCTGGGTAGTCTAGAGCCTCTTCCCATATTTTGATGAATTTACCCAATGCAGGTGTGAAAGATGCAAGTGATAAGAAAATTTTGGTGGACATGTTATTCTGGGCAGTGGATAATCCGCCTCCTGCAAATTATCTTCTTATTTCTGGTGATCGTGACTTCTCTAATGCCCTCCATCAACTAAGGATGAGGAGATATAATATTCTGTTGGCACAGCCTGTGACTGTATCCCAAGCTCTGGTTTCAGCTGCAAAGAACGTTTGGCTATGGGCTAGCCTTCTGATTGGAGGACCACCATTGCCGGAGTCCCCTCAGCTTCATAACGCATCAAGCGGTAGCAGGTCAAATGTTGAGACTCCTTCCCGTAGCATGCCGGACGCTTCGCAACCTACTGATTCTAAACAAAAGAATCATGGTAATGGAAAGGGTTATGGACAGAATAAAGTCAAAAGAATTAAGGTAACAAAAAAGTTGATAACCAGAATAAAGTCTCATCAGAGACAGCCGAATCCCAATACGTCCCGAACCACCCACGTTTCACGGTCTACTGAATCTAATCAAAAGAATCATGGTAATAAAAAGGTTGATAACCGGAATGAAGTCGAGCAGAACCGGAAGACTCAGAGCCAGCGGAGTCCCAGTACATCCGGCGCCACCAACGCTTCAAGGTCTACTGATTCTAATCAAAAGAACCACGGTAATAAAAAGGCTGATAAGAAGAATGAAGTCGAGCAGATCCGGAAGACTCAGAGCCAGCCGAATCCCAATACATCCAGCGCCACCTACGCTTCAAGGTCTACTGATTCTAATCAAAAGAACCACGGTAATAAAAAGGCTGATAAGAAGAATGAAGTCAAGCAGAACCGAAAGACTCAGAGCCAGCCGAATCCCAATACATCCAGCGCCACCAACATTTCAAGGTCTACTGATTCTAATCAAAAGAACCACGGTAATAAAAAGGCTGATAAGAAGAATGAAGTCAAGCAGAACCGAAAGACTCAGAGCCAGCCGAATCCCAATATATCCAGAGCCACCTC